ACTTTGCAAGCCTTGCATCCAATAGGTAGGAAGCATCCACCCCACCCCAGGCTGTGTAAAGGGACTGAAACGCAGCTCTCGCTGAGTAACGAGCAACTCAAAATAATTAATAGATGAATGAAAAACACAAATGCAGCCAGGAACAGATGGATCCCCCAATTCATTAGCAGAAAGCAGATCTTCTGTTTCGGTGTCAGGAGACCTTGTTGGCTTTTGTATTTTAACATTTGCAATTCTCTAGGCACTTAATTAGATTATATTGATTTGTATTTCTCAGTTTCTTCCTCCAAATGAGCTCAAGGAGCAAAATATAAGGTCTGCCTCCTTCTGTTCTCCGAACAATTCTGTAAACTGGGTGAGGCTGAGAGCAGGCGGGATCCAAGATCAGGCTCTGTTCAACACAGCAGTTTTTTAAAGTTATTTCCCACCCTGGATATGCAAGGGAATCTCCTTTTGACTTTTGGGAGAGCTTGTTCTACACAAGAACAAGAGAGAGAGGGGGAGACAGAAAGGGAGAGTCATGTCTGCACATATGTTCTGTTTTCTTTGGGATATATATGGGAGAGAAGCCCATTAATTGGCTCTGTCTGCTGATTCCTAAATGAAACCTAAATGTGCTTCAAGCTCTCCATTTTCATCTAATTCCTTCACCTTAACTTTGCAGCTGTACAAGCCAGAGATGGGCTTCTGCGGGCTCTCCCGAATGGATGCCAGGGCCAGATCTGCTGCTCCAAAGTTGGTACAGATACTCGGTTCTGTTCGAGTCCCACCATTTTGTCCCAGGATCTCCCTTTCATCATTTTTTGCCAAGATTCTAGCGAAGCCGCCCAAAAGAGATGTAAACAGGCCCTAATGTAAAGCAATATACAGTACTGACTATAACAAAATTATTTTACATCCCCATATTCAGGCCGCTAGTATTTATAAATATTTATGACAAGTGTCTGCTGCTTGAGCAGTGGGTTAGACTAGAAGATCTCCAAGGTCCCTTCCAACTCTGTTATTTCAGGTTCTATGTTCTATTTTTTTCCAGCTAAATTATACATTTGTGGTACCCAACTGGAAAAGAAATAAAGGAGTGGAAAAACCAATGAACCCCATTTCTACTGTGAAAGCCTTCCCAGAATACTAAACTCATCAGAAAAGTGTGCTTTTCCTTTCACTTTTAATCCCACAAGGATGCACCAGACTGAAAGATGGACTCTACTCTCAACTTACAGCCTCTGGCCCTAGTGCCACTTTGCTCTGCGTGGCTTCCAAAAACAGACAGCTGTCAGGGCTCTGGCATCCACCCCCATTTAAATCACAAGTCTCTAGCCGCATCTCTCAGAGTTTGAAAAAAAAAATGATTTATTAAGAGTGAACATGCCGGTGTTACCTGGGTGCAGCCGACTCTGAGACACATCGTTCATTTCACCCTTGACCCTAGTCTTCCCCGACCCCCTGGATGTATATTCTCCAATGGGACACATCCATAGCCAAGAGTCATCGATCATGCTCTCCAGTAATAACCTTGTGCGCTAGAAGTTTTGGTCACCTACAAATTATCTAAGGAATGCACTACTTCCCAACACTCCCTTTCTGCGGACAACTCTAAAGACCAGAGCAATATTTCTCAGTTGACAAGAGACATGTAGCTTGTCCCCTCAACAGGCCTGTCATGTCCTCAAGCAATTAAACAGGGTCACGACTCCACTTGTGAGCTTGAAGAGGCAACCCCAGGCAGGGAGAGAGGGAAGGCAAGAATAGTCTTCAAAAACCAACATTGCTCTCTCAGGCAAAAGAGGGGTAGCACATCTGCTCTCATTAGCTAAACATCCTGGCAGTGACGGGTAGGGGAGGCTTGGTGGGAGACAAGGACACGCTCGGGAAATGCGGCCTTGGTCCCTAATTCCACTTTTGCACTTCGGTTGCCTGAATTCTACCCCAATATCAAGTCAGCAGGACCCTGGGGGCATTCAGTTGTGGCTGCTAAATGCCAAGTTGGTCGGCCACAGGGTTCCTCTCCTCTGCGATCTGATTGCAGAAAAGAAGGCTGAGCTAGCATGTATACCAAGGCCAGGTTTGACCCCCCCCAAAAGAGGGGACCCTTTTGCAAATAGGCCCAACCGGATTTGGGGTATGGCATCAATCACGGACCTGAGGCAGGGATGAGGGCGTGACCATTGTCATAAGGGAGTCCCTTGCAGCTTTCAGGGGTACTGCCCCATGGATTGCTGGATGAGAGACCCTATTTATTAAGCTCTAGAGATCGGCTGGGACTGTTGCTAGCCTGAGCTTGTTGACTCCATTTCTATGTTGGCAGTGCAATTTCCCAGGTTTAGGGTCCTGGTGGTTTAGTCTGCATTCCTTGAAAGTGGGGTCTGGGGTAGTTCAGGAGTTCATGGCCAGCTTGACAGTCACAGCCCCATTCCAAGTCATCCAGGACCGAAGACAAATCACTGGACTCACACACCCAATCGGGTCTTCTTGTTCTGGCAGCGACACCATGCTCTGGAAGTGGAAGACATCTCTGGGGTTCCCCTGTCCTGGTCAGATCGCCCACTGATAACCAGGGCGTTTTCTAGCACTACTCCCCCCCACACACACCACCCAGTGGTGGGATTCAAAAAGTTTTACTACTGGTTCTGTGGGCATGACTTGGTGGCCGTGGCATGGCTTGGTGGGCATGGCTTGGTGGCCGTGGCAGGGGAAGGATACTGCAAAATCCCCATTCCCTCCCTACCTCACTAACCTGCTTTCCAGCTCCGTTCTCCTGTGCAGGGCAACCAAAGAAGACCCAGCCGATCAGCTGTGATTCAATGGGAGGCAGAGAATAGATGGGGGAGGGGCCAGTCAGAGGTGGGATTGGCTGGTTCTCCAAACTGCTCAAAATTTCCATTACCGGTTCTCTAGAACCGGTCAGAACCAGCTGAAGGCCACCTCTGAAATCACCACTGCAGAAAGGCAGGGCTCCTTCAATTGGTCTGCCCTAGTGACTGACAGATCCTTCCATGTTTCAAAGGGAGCTCTTGTCTATGGGGATCTCACCTAGTATTACTGTATTCAAGTTTCTTTCTCTGTACTATTAAATTCCATCCAAGTTCCCACTGCTTTTACCTCTGCAACTAACTTTTCCCTATTGGTCAGGATCAAATTTAAGACAGCTAATTTCCTTCAATAACCTTCCTTTTTTCATCTTTTGGAAACTGGAATAATCAGTGTGACAAGTAAGAGGGAGAGTGGGAGAGAGAGGACAGGAGAAAGGTTTCCTATTTCTAAACTTTGGTAAATTTAGGGGACCTTGGTTAAAATATCCATTTATGATTGTGTCTCTCCTGTCTAAAGTTCTATTATCAGCTTTGAAAGAGCCTTAGCTTGATCTTCTGCCTGGTTTGGTGAACTACTGCACATTTGTACAATAATATCTTCATTTCCCTTCTTTTGTGTTCCTATCTAGATATCGTGGGCTGTACTTTCATGCTGATTCCTGGTTTTGGCAGAGTTATGCACTTCATCCAGATATAATGCAACTCCTCCTCTGCCTTTGAATGCTATATATTTCTTTATTCAGCATATTTGTATGCTGCAATAAAAAATGACTCAATGGCTCACACAAGAAAATGCCATATAAAACCGACCCCCCAGAAAAGCTGGCAAGGAGAGTCTTTCATCTACAGAATTGTTCCAGGCAGCCCACCCATCTGAGGCTCAGTGGGCTGTAAGGAACTAGCTTCTGATGGGAAGGAAATAGAAGCCTTAGAAATTGAAATGGCTTTATTACGGTCTTTGATCAACATTATTAGTAAGAAAAAGAAAACGCATTACCAAAAATTATCATAAAACAATAGAGCCATATATCTAAGTCAAAGATTTAGTAGTATTTGTATGGCTCAATAAATTGGCAGTTGCCAGCCCAGAATGCCAGTGAAGAGTTAACATCCATTTAAACAAAATTATGAACAGGAAATGCCTCTGTCTTGAGCAAAGCACATCTTAGGATCTCATATAAGGCACATACTGTAAGAAAAGATAGGAAAAGTTTCTATCTCCTTAAAGCTAGAGTTAAGCTTGGCCATGAGGGTAAGGGAATCAAAGGAAGCTTAATTTTTTTGGGAGGGGGAGGGTAAAAGATATGTGGCTCTGAAGCACCCAATTGTGAGAACCTTGAGGAAGGCACATTGGCAAGTGTGGCCCTCAAGGCCCCAAATACTCTTTTGCCTGCCCTTAAAGAGATTAAACCAATATTGAACATTCATGGTGATTCATAAAGTAGTCTTGAAGAAGCACCAACCTGCATTCGGATGAAATAACAAAAACCATCAGTTTCTTCAAATCCACATGCATATTGTTACAGATAACTAGTTTTTCATCATAATTGGGATTCACACACATAGTTAAAGATTAACAGATTAACAGAGTTGGAAGGGACCTTGTGGGTCATGTAGACCAACGCCCCCCCGGCCCAAGCAGGAGATCCTACACCATTTCTGACAGATGGCAATCCAGCCTCTTCTTAAAAGCTTCCAGTAATGAAACTCCCACAGCTTCCGAAGGGAAGCTGTTCCATTGGTTGATTGCTCTTACTGACAGAAAATTTCTCCTTATTTCCAGGTTGAATCTCTCCTTGTTCAGTTTCCATCCATTATTCCTTGTTTGACCTTTCGGTGACTTGGAAATTAGCTTGGCCCCTTCCTCTCTGTGTCAACCCTTCAAATATTGGAACACTGCTATCATGTCTCCCCTGGTCCTTCTCTTCACTAGACTAGCCATGCCCAGTTCTTGCAACCATCATTATATGCTTTAGCCTCCAGTCCCCTAATCATCCTGGTTGCTCTTCTCTGTATTCTTTTAGAGTCTCAACATCTTTTTATCATGTGGTGATCAAAACTGGATGCAGGACTCTAGGTGTGGTCTTACTAAGGCTTTATAGAGTGGTATTAGTACCTCCCTTGATCTTGATTGTATTCCTCTGTTAATGCAGTTTAGGATTGCATTGGCTTTTTGGGCTGCCTCTGCACATATTTAATTGGCTGTCCACTAGGAGTCCAAGATGCCTCTCACAGTTACTGCTATTGAGCCTGGTTTCACTCAGTCTACATGAGTACTCTTGTTGTTTCTTGCCCAAGCGTAAGACTTTACTTTTCTCTACACTGAATTTCATTTTGTTAGATAGGACCCAGAGTGTTCACATCTCTCGATCCATCTGGATCTTGACCTTATCATCTATTCCTGCCAGCTTAGTATCATCTGCAAATGTGGTAAATTGCCCCTTTGTTCCCTCATCTAAGTCATTTATGAAAATATTGAAGAGTACTCAGCCTAAGACGGAACCTTGTGGTACTTCACTGCTTACTTCCCTCCATGTAGATGTATTACCATTAAGAACTATTCATTGAGTACAGTTTGTTTACAAATCCATCTGATGGTGATGCTACCTACCCCACTTTTTCCTACCTTACCAAGAAGTAGGTTGTGATCTAGTTTGTTGAATGCTTTGCTGAAGTCTAATGAAGGGTAAGGGGGTTGAGTCATTGTTCAGCTCATACAAAGCTTGAGGATTGCCATTGTCAACTGGGTAAGAGGGAAAGGTGACATCTGGGGAAAAAGCCATGCTGTGTTGCAGATCAGATAATGCATCTGTCTTAAAAAGGAGCACCTTGGAACACAGAAGACTCTTCAGGATGATACAGAGATATCACAAAACCTATCTTGCTCCAAGGTATGATTATGCAGCCAAATTCAAGAAAATGCAGAAGCAGAACGGACATCAGGCCGGTTGATTATGTGACAGGCATCTGATAATTTTTCAATTGGGTGACATCTGAAGCCAATTAACAAACAAACATGGTGAACTCAGGACACCCCAAAGGGAAAATACTGATTTCAACTATGCTGACAGATAAGAAGGTAGTCCAGCGAAATAGATTTTATGGAGGACCTGTCCCAAATCTCCCCTTCTGAGACCAGCTTGCATCTCTGAAGATGAGCCAATGAGAATCAGACAGTACAAATTGGAAAAATCATCAATGGCAAAACCAGTAGAGGAGTGAGTCATAGAATTTTACAGCTGGGAGGGACTGTGATGACCCGGAGTGTAATACAAGCATAACAAAATCCAAAACGTAAATAAATGTCCTTTAATGCCTCCAACTTGGCCCCATTGTTCAATAATTCTCAGTTGGAGATAAAATGTACTCAAAAATAGTCTTCAAAAGAAAGCAATACAGTATGAACTTAATGAGCAGATAAAGGTGAAATAAAAAACCAAACAAACTACAATGATGAAATTTCCACAACGGACCAGGATAAATAATTACCAAATTCAAGGAGATAACAAGGCATGGTCTGTTGGAAGGACGCCAACCAAGATAACTTCAGCCCAAAATAAAACATGCTTTGCTTCTGGCAATGCTGTGTTTTAACTGTCTCTCTCTTATATACTAGTCTTCCCTTCTGGAACCAATGAGGAGGATCATGACCGCTTCCTGTTGCATAAGCCAAGCTGTTGCCTTCTCCATTCCTCCCCTGTGTGTCCTAGTATGCAGAGGGGATGGGCCCGGGTCTTCCTCTGACTGCCCAGCCAGCCTCTGCCATTCCCCAGCCTCCTCCACAACCTCAGGAGCTACCCCTCCAATCCCTGTCAACTGTTTCTCTCCCTTGGAGTCCGACTCTACCAAGGGCATGACAGGGATCTTGGAGGACTAGTCATTATACTCCATTCTGGACATGGGTTATTGAAACTGTTATTGAAACCTATGGACCACCCACAACTCTGGATGGCAGGCTGTTTCATTGATTAATTGTTCTCATTGAGGGAAATTTCTCCTTGATTCCAGATTGGAACTCCTTTTAATGAACTTCCATCCATTGCTTCTTTTCCTGCCCTTTGGGGGGCGGGGAGAGGAGGAGGAGATATCCGAGTCAGGGAGCAAGGTTCCGTGGAGTAAACAATCGATGCACCAATTACCCTCTACCACTTGGATGCCTTAGTAGAATGCTGAGGTTTATCAAGGGCGATTTTCTTCTCAAATGCTGTCCATGATTTGACAGGAAGCAAATATAAACTGATCAGAACTTGACACAATCATGCAACAATCCTGACATGATCAAGCAAAAACATATACAAGACATGATGCTTTGCCTTCCCCAACAACAGTCTTGGGCATGAAGTACTTGACTCAAAGTCTTGGATGGCTTCAAATCCTGGGACTTCCACTGATACATTCCCCCACTTTGTTGTGAAACAGCTGTATTCACCCAGCCATTCATACCTCTGTGCAAGTTTTTTACAAGTCATTAAAGAGCCTAATCACCAACTTAGAGCTGTTGATTAATGCATAATCTTAATCATGATTACATAGCGTAATTGATGTTAATTTGGAAAGCCAGTTAATTATGAAAATAATTGCTACAGCTTTTCTGTTTTAATAAAAAGGAGGGGATGTTCCTTCCACAAGCCATAAATTAAACAAGGGCTAAGGCTAGGTCAGCGCTTCTCAACCTGGGCTGCTTTAAGGTGTGTGGACTGCAACTCCCAAAGCAGGTGGGGAATTCTGGGAGTTGTAGTCCACACATGTGAAAGTAACCCAGGTTGAAAAACACTGGGTTAGGGTGATACTAGTTTTCTGGAAAACCGAACTGACCTGAATTTAGATTTGCATAGAAAATATTTTATTTACATTGAAAGATTTTCCTTTGCCATGGGGCATTTTTTGGATTGTTTTTCTAATAATCCATCCTTTATATATTTGCCAATAAAAGTTTCCTGGAAGACTTCAATTAAACTTGGAAATTGCAAACATTCTTAATGTTGTATCAATAGTGCGCAAACTATTGATTTCCTCCAAAATAAATTGGAAGTGACCTTGGAAGTCTCTAATTCCAGTTCCCTCCTCAAGCAGAAAACCCTATCCCATGTCCAACAAACAGATGTTCAATTTCTTTTTAAAAACCTCCAGTGTTGCAGCATCCACAACTTCTGGAGGAAATCATTACACTGGTTCATAGTTCTATCAGGAAATTTATCCTTAGTTAAAATTGCTACCCTGGTATTTTCTCTTATCACTCTTTTACTTCCTCTTTTTCCTTTTATTTCAACACTTCGAATTTTGTTCTTCAAACAACATCAGTGTGTGAAGAATCAATGTAACAGTGTGTAATAGTAGAACCAGTTTATCCTACCATACTTCCTAATTGCCTGAAAATCTGGACTTCCAGACTTTAAGAGTCCTCATCAATGGTTCCTTATCAAAATAAAGTGAAGGATCATAGAATCGTAGGGTGAGTCAAGTGGAGTGAATCAAAATCCAGTCGTTGGCCTCTTACTTTTCAGTATCTTTATTAATGAGCAGTGTGAAGAGTTCAATGAAACTATGATAAAATGTTCAGAGGGCACAAGACTGGGTGGGTTATTACATAAGTGGGTGTTAGTCCCAGGTCTTGCCTTCATCTTCAAGAAATGTCACCCAACATTGCATGCATCGGACAACATTAGATGCATGTATTAAACAACATCCACAGCAGTGGATAATTATTATTATTTTCTCTGTTGTTTTGCAAGCACACTGAATACTTCTGTACCAGAGACAAACTCCTTGTCTGTCTAATCACATTTAGCCAATAAAGTATTCAGAGTAATGGAGTTGGAAGGGGTCTTGCAGGTCTTCTAGTCCAACCCCTTGCTCAAGCAGACTGTCAGGACTCCAACAAATCCACCCCCATTCAAATCATAAGTCTCAAGCCGCATCTCAGAGAAAAGAAAATTTATATATTAGAAGTGGCCATGTTGGTGTTAGCTGGATGCAGCCGATACTAAAATGCATGATTCATTTCCCTCTTGACCCTGGTCTTCCCCCCATCCCCTGGATGTGTATTCTACAATGGGACACATCCATAGCCAAGAGTCATCAATCATGCTTTCCTGTAATATCCTTGCACTCTGACAACTTTGGGCTACCAGGGTGATTATCTAGGCACTTAAGGAATGCACTGTTTTCCCCCACTCCCTTTTTCTGGCAGCTATAAAGATCAAATGAGCATCTATTTAGTTGACACAGGATACTGTATACCATTCCAGACAAAAGGCTGTCCAGTCTCTTCTTAAAAGCCTCCAGTACTTTGGAAAAGATACTGACCCCCTCTTTTTTGTGGCAGCCCCTCAAATATTGGAACACTGCTATCATGTCACCGCTAGTCCTTCTTTTTTAGGCTAGATCTTCAATTCAATTCCATTCAAAACACACCCTCCCATATAATTAAACACTATCACTATTTCCTCCTCTGTCCCCTGTTAATATTACAAGAGAAAAAAGTGAGACCTTCCCTCCATCTCAGAATGCTACTTTCCACACCAGCAGTGAGAGAAGAGGAATCCGGCAAGTGGTCCCTGCAACTGAATTAGTTGGAAGAATCAGGAGCCAACTCAACTCAACAGAGTTGTAACCTTCCAGAGACAGGGTTTGGGAGACAGAAGCTACTTACACTGGATATGAATGCCAGAACATGAATCTTCTCCCCAAATGAGTGCATTTTGTGAGAGGCATCAGGGACAGCCTGACACACTCTGGCAATGAAGTCCTAACTTGGCAATTGGCATCAAGGGAGAAGCTCTGCTCATTAACAAATGGAAAACAAGTACATTTCACTGATGAATACTAAAGTCAAGACTAGCTGTGCCATCTTCCCATTTTCCATAAGGGGACTGCACCCTTCCCAATCTTTTGTCTTCTTCCTCTAAGGGGCTATTATATCTTGAAGGAAATGCTGTATTATCAAAATATGTAAAGAGCTGAATTGGAAGAAAGGTGAAGGCTGTACAAGAAGTATTGATACAAATTCTTCTTATATTTTAAATATCAACAGGTGGGCAGGTAAAGGACTTAACTATCTTTGCTGGAATTCAAAAGCAGGCTAATTGTTCCTTGGGGTACCTCAATCAAGAAATGAAAGAAAAAGCTAATTAGAATCAGCTCCCTTTCGACTAAAGAGATGTTTAACTCGCTGAAAACTTTTATACTCATAAGCCAGTCTTCTTCATGCTGGTGTTTTCCTTTGAACCAGTGAAAAGCCAGTTCCCCCTCCCAAAAGGTC